GGGACCGGGGGGCGGGCCGGGGGGGGCGGGGGGGGCTGGGGCCGCACCGCCCGCTGGCTTTCGGGAGCTGGGGGAGGCTGGAGCCGCACCGCCCGCTGGCTTTCGGGAGCTGGGGGAGGCTGGAGCCGCACCGCCCGCTGGCTTTCGGGAGCTGGGGGAGGCTGGAGCCGCACCGCCCGCTGGCTTTCGGGAGCTGGGGGAGGCTGGAGCCGCACCGCCCGCTGGCTTTCGGGAGCTGGGGGAGGCTGGAGCCGCACCGCCCGCTGGCTTTCGGGAGCTGGGGGAGGCTGGAGCCGCACCGCCCGCTGGCTTTCGGGAGCTGGGGGAGGCTGGAGCCGCACCGCCCGCTGGCTTTCGGGAGCTGGGGGAGGCTGGAGCCGCACCGCCCGCTGGCTTTCGGGAGCTGGGGGAGGCTGGAGCCGCACCGCCCGCTGGCTTTCGGGAGCTGGGGGAGGCTGGAGCCGCACCGCCCGCTGGCTTTCGGGAGCTGGGGGAGGCTGGAGCCGCACCGCCCGCTGGCTTTCGGGAGCTGGGGGAGGCTGGAGCCGCACCGCCCGCTGGCTTTCGGGAGCTGGGGGAGGCTGGAGCCGCACCGCCCGCTGGCTTTCGGGAGCTGGGGGAGGCTGGAGCCGCACCGCCCGCTGGCTTTCGGGAGCTGGGGGAGGCTGGAGCCGCACCGCCCGCTGGCTTTCGGGAGCTGGGGGAGGCTGGAGCCGCACCGCCCGCTGGCTTTCGGGAGCTGGGGGAGGCTGGAGCCGCACCGCCCGCTGGCTTTCGGGAGCTGGGGGAGGCTGGAGCCGCACCGCCCGCTGGCTTTCGGGAGCTGGGGGAGGCTGGAGCCGCACCGCCCGCTGGCTTTCGGGAGCTGGGGGAGGCTGGAGCCGCACCGCCCGCTGGCTTTCGGGAGCTGGGGGAGGCTGGAGCCGCACCGCCCACTGGCTCTCAGGAGCTCCAGGGCCAGAGGGAGCTTGGGGGGTGCTACCCTGGGACAGGGAGGGGACTAGCAGGGGCCAGCAGCCGCACTGCGGCGGGGATTGGGGTGAAGAGGAAGAGGCTGGGCAGGGGCCAGCAGGCCACAGTGGGGGGGAGCATGGGCTCTGGTGGGCGGGGTTGGGAGGCTTACATCCCCCAGCCACAGGGTCACCCACTGCCCATGCTCTTGCATGTCCCCATTAGCCACCGCCAGCCCCTCACCACTGTGCTGTCCCATCCACGTAGGGCACCAGGATATACTGCTGCAGTCACTCCCTCTGCCCACTGGGTGGCACTGCAGGCGCACACACCACTCACTGGCAATGTCCAAAAAGTGGAACATTTGGGTTCACGTGGCACGAACCAGGGACTGAGCCCTTGCCCAGAGACACTGCCTAGGGGTGCCTGGGTGCGGCTCCCATTGACTGCGGAAGGATCCAGGCGCCTACACGTTGAGTTTAGCTAGATCTGAGCTCCCGGGGTTGGGTGGACGAACCCGGGAGATAAAAATCTCCCTGAACCACAATCCTGGGAATGCCCTTGGAGTTCAGCAAAGCTCAGAAATGCTGAAATGCAGCAGAGAAACTGCTTGGGGGATACTGAGGCCAGGAATTTTAGATCCTTGAATACATCTGAGCCAGAGAACCGCTAGCCCTTCGGAGTTGGCTGAATTAACATTTTATATGCCTGTCGGTCTTTAACGCCCTGTTAATAGCATATGGGATGATCCCCGCACGAAAGAGCTTGCAATCTAAACAGACAAGACAAATTAATGAAAACTTGTTCACCCATTTTACAGAGGAGGGGGACTGAGGCATGGACAAATTAAGTGACTTGCCCTAGTTCATACAGAGCTGGGAATTGGCCTCCACCTCTGAGATCTAGTCTGATACCTTCATCACAAACACAGCTTGACACCCCGGGAAACCTACTCGCAGCAGTGATACGTCCCCTACAGAGACAGGACAGATTAAGCTAGATGGGTTTATGAAGGGCATGGTTTGATGGGACAGCATGATCTTGGCAACTAATTGACCTTTCACTATCGGTGGTAAATAGGCCAATGGTGGGATGATAGGAGTTACTATAGAGAACTTTTTCCTGGGTGTCTGGCTGGTGAGTCTTGCCCACATGCTCAGGGTTCAGCTGATCGCCATATTTGGGGTCGGGAAGGAATTTTCCTCCAGAGTAGATTGGCTGAGGCCCTGGAGGTTTTTCGTCTTCCTCTGTAGCATGGGGCACAGATCACTTGCTGGAGGATTCTCTGCATCTTGGGGTCTTTAAACCATCATTCGAGGACTTCAATATCTGAGCTATAGGTGAGAGGATTATTCTAGGAGGGGTGGGTGAGATTCTGTGGCCTGCGTTGTGCAGGGGGTCAGACTAGATGATCATAATGGTCCCTTCTGACCTTAAAGTCTATGAGTCTATGAGGAAAGCCTGTTCAGTAATTACGAGTGCTCAATCTCATGGCCTCTCTTCTATCTATCTATCTATCTATCTATCTATCTATCTATCTATCTATCTATCTATCTATCTATCTATCTATCTCAGATATCTGATGTGCAAACAGAGACCCATCATCCAGGTATATTCAGACATGTCTACATGATCATTACATTTTCCACTCTCAACTTGTCACACACGAGATGTATCGACTGAAGGCGTTTTATTCCATAGTTCACCCTCCGCTCCGTGGGCTCTCCCCTTCCATCGTGGGTCGCATGCCACGCACCATGAACATTGCAAGGGTGCAGCATGCCAGGCCCAGCCCCTCAGACACAGCGCCTCTTGCACAGCGTCGCCCCGACAGCACTGCTTCACACTTGGCACTGACTGTCAAGGACTTGGGTCGGCCTGATTGTGCCTGCCCTGGTATGGTTACCGGAGACACGGTCACCTTCTTGTGGGCAGAAGGGATTGCAACCAGCCTCGCTGAATAGCCTCTGCGTGTGGGCAGGGCTGCAGAGTGGCAGGAGAGGTTATACCCAGGCCAGACCTGGCATTAAAGTGAACTGCTGAAGTAAAGGGATAGACTCATTGACTTGGGTGCTTTTGTGAAAGGGCTGTGAAGTATGCTCTACTAACGAGCACGAGCCACCCATGGAGGTATCCTGGGGGGGTCCTTCTGGAAGGCGTCCACAAAGGGGACCCCAAGTCTCAGTACGTTTTTCGGAAAGGCGTCCGTGGAGGTTTGTGGCCCTTAGATCTAGCTGGAAACAGGAGACTAGGACTTCTGTGGGGCTACAGGGGCTCCTTGTGGTCCTTTTAATAATCATGTGCCTTCTGCTTAGGCGCCTGGCCCCCAAAGCCAAGCATGTCAGATTGGCACGTTGGTTGGGGCTCCTGGGCGGGCCAGGGGAGAGCACAAGTAGGACTCGAGCTCGCACGGCAGCGCTGGGGCTCACCCTTCCCTCCACCCCAGAAAGCAACAGACCCTCTGCCCATTTGCTGCTGTTGAAACTCCCTGGGGGGAGTGTGACGTTGGGGCCGTTAGTGGAAGAAGGAAAATCTTGTGCCTCTAGCTCCCAGGTTCAAATCCAGCCCGGGCTGGCAGCAAGCAACAGCGACCATTCCCGGCCCCCGCCTTGCTTACGGACTCGGCTCACACGTGGCCCTGCCGGTGTGGGTCCTGCTAGCTCAGTGGGCTTTGGTGTAAACCAGCGCCGAGGGGAATCGAGACCTTGTCTCCCCTTTGCTCCCTTCCCGCCACGGTGTGCCTCACCCTGCCCTTCCCGCGGTGGCACCAAGAGCTTCTCCCCTGCAGCCTCTAGCTCTTCGTGACAACCTCTTCGCCCCCCCCAACCATGCCTCTTCGCCTCGCCTTCTCCCTGCTCTTTTGGGCGTAAAGGGCACCCTAGAAAATGAAGCCACCGAGTCAGCGTAGAATCATCGAGGAAGGGACCTCGTGTCGTTCTCCAGTCCCCTGTTGTGTTCCTGTCACTTCAGTGGGCCGCAAGCTCCCGGGCCGACTCTGAGAGGCGCATGACCGCTGCCCTCCTTGTCCACGGAGCTTCTCCAGCCTCCTGCCCACTACCCTCTGAGCCCCGACCCCCCCGCCATTCCTATCTGAAGCCAAGCAACTTCACCCCCTGCCTCATCTTCTGGGCCTGCCACCGGATCACTCGGATGGCCCTCAGGCTGGCGTGCATGAGCGCGTCGTACTTGAAGACCATCTTGTAGAAGGCGTCGGTCATCAGCGCGCCCGTGGGGTCGGCGTGCTTCAGGGCCATCATGGGCGTGTAGACGGCGTTGGTCTGGTGCCGGAAGGGTGGCCGGGCGGCGCTGATCACCCGCAGCGTGTGCTGCAAAGGCAAACGGGCCCATGTGAGCGCTGGGCCATGGGGCACCAGGCTTTGCAACTCCCTCTCCATGACCTGGGAGGCAGGCCAACCCCTGTAGCCAGCTCTGCTTGGCCTGCCCCTCTGGGGTTCTGGCCATGCTGCAGGTGATCGGAGCTCAGAGAGGATGCAAGAGATCCTCTGTGGAACTCCTCGCCGGAGGATGCGGTGGAGCTAGATAGATGCATGGAGGTTGGGTCCATCAATGGGTATTAGCCAGGATGGGTAGGAACGGTGTCCCTAGCCTCTTTGTCTGGAGGTGGGTGACAGGGGAGGGGTCATGTGAGGATTCCCTGTTGTGTTCCCTCCCTCTGGGACATCTGGTGTTGGCCACTGTGGGCAGACAGGATACTGAGCTGGATGGACCTTTGGTCTGACCCAGTCTGGCCGCTCTTATGTTTCAATGTCTCCTGGCTTCACTGGGCTGCCTCCCTGTCCAGCCCCCATGGTGCCAAGGGAAAACTGAGGCGCGGGGCAGGGAAGTGACTCACTCCAGGTCACCCGGAGGTCGGGGTCAGAGCTGGAAACAGAACCCAGGAGTCCCGGCCCCCACGCCCACGCTGTAACCACGAGACAAGCAGCAGCTGTTTACAGGATACCGGCGCCCCCTCGCCCCGCCATTTCTTATGCATCATCTTCCCTATGCGGGGGAGGAGGTGGTGTCTAAGGATTTGTGAATCATGGGGCAGAGGAGGCGGCACCGCGGATCAGCCCCACCAGCGCGCCAGAGACGTGGCGACGGGAGACATCCCAGGGTGGGGCAAAGGCCTGGCTCCCACCCCAAACCCCCAAACCTCGTCTCCTGGGGACTAGCCCCCTAACCCAAGCCTCCCCCTCCGCCCGGGCCCCTGCTGCCCCTGGGGTGAGTCACAGAGAACCCGAGAAATGTTGGGCTGGAAGGAAAGGTGAGAAATTAGCAGATCCAGGCCTTGGTACGGAGGCAGGACCCCGCCAACCCGGAGCCTCTGGGGCAGGGGGTGTTTTTCTGACTTGCTCATAGAAATCCCCACCGATTCCCAAGCTCCCCTGGCGGCCTATTCCAGAGCTTAGCTACCCGCGGGCAGGTTTTCCTAATAGCTAACCTACATCGCCCTGGAAGGCCCCGCGACCACGTGCAGTGGGAGGACCCCCTGGACTTTGTGGGGAGAGCCCCGTGGGTTGGGGAGGGGGGCCATGCTGGGCTCAGGGGAGGGGCAGAGCCCCGTGGGCCGGGGTCCGTGCTGGGCTCAGAGGTGGGGGAGAGCCCCGTGGGTTGGGGAGGGGGGCCATGCTGGGCTCAGAGGAGGGGCAGAGCCCCGTGGGCCGGGGTCCGTGCTGGGCGCAGAGGAGAGGGGGTGCGCCGGGGGG